CACACAAACCCAATCGGACACATACCAGTGAAGGAAAGCAAACTCGATGATGTCTATCTTCGAAGACGATAAATGTTAAAAAAAAGATAATAATAAATAACGCCCTCAAAAAAAAAAAAAGAAAAAAGAAAAAAGAAAAAAAAAAAGTTGTCCTCCGCAATGGTGTATATATCGCTGGTATATTTTCGCGTGGAATTATTGACGCAATTTGGCGGTGTTGTGTCGACAGGCCGAGACATATGTCGGGCGGAGGCAATACAAAGAAGGGGGTAGGGGGGGGGTGAGGAGGTGGAGTTAGGGGGGGGGAGGGTGGCAGAGGCGTGAGGAGCTGGAGTTAGGGGGGAGGGTGGCAGAGGGGGGAGGAGCTAGAAGGGGGGAGGGGGAGGGTGGCAGAGGGGTGAGGGGGTGGAAGGGGGGGAGGGGGAGGGTGGCAGAGGGGTGAGGAGCTAGAAGGGGGGAGGGGGAGGGTGGCAGAGGGGTGAGGGGGTGGAAGGGGGGAGGGGGAGGGTGGCAGAGGTGTGAGGGGGTGGAGGGGAGGGGTAGGGGAATAGGGATGGAATGTCTCTTTAAGAAAATAAATAAAAGTCACCTTACGAGATATGTCCTTCGGTGAAAAGATGAGAGAGAAAGAGAAATATGAAGATAAAGACGGAGAAGTGGAGAGAGAGAGAGAGAGAGAGAGAGAGAGAGAGAGAGAGAGAGAGAGAGAGAGAGAGAGAGAGAGAGAGAGAGAGAGAGAGAGAGAGAGAAAGAGAGAGAGAGAGAGAGAGAGAGAGAGAGAGAGAGAAAGATAAAGAAAGAGAGAGAGAGATCGCAAAGGGAAAATACCGGCAACATATGTCTGATGGACCACCGAGCGGAAATGATACGTAGATAGATAGGTCACTGTTTAAAGAAATATAGATATATAGACAGATAGACAGAAAGAAATATAGATATATAGACAGATAGACAGAAAGAAATATAGATAGATAGATAGATAGGTAGGTAGATAGATAGATAGATAGATAGATAGACAGAGAGATAGATAGATAGATAGAGAGAGAGAGAGAGAGAGAGAGAGAGAGAGAAAGAGACAGAAAGACACAGGGACAGATATAGATAGATAAATAGGTAGATAGATAGATAGATAGATAGATAGATAGATAGATAGATAGAGAGATAGAGAGATAGATAGAGAGGGAGAGAGAGAGGCAAAGACACAGAGACAGAGAGGAAGGAAAAATATATAGATACACATAGATAGTTAGATAGATAGATAGAGATAGAGAGAGAAAGAGAGATAGAGAGACAAAGAGGTAGAGAGACACAGGGACAGAGAAGCTGAGAAACAAAGAAACAGACAGAAAAAACAAAACAAAAACAGGCGGAGAGAATGAATAACGAGCGAAATTGAGAGGAGAACGAACGAAATGTATTTTCACAGCAGAACATCCTGGAAAAAAGAGAGGCGTGTCGAAAAGTAAACATTTCAAAACCAGTTGTAAAGAAGTGTTTCATTAGAAAAAAAAACACTATACAAAAGTTCTAAGCTCCTAAATATACTGAAGAAGCTCAGAGGGGGGGGAGGACGAGTGTAGAACGTAGGACCTGATTTAAGCTTAAGACCAGTTTTTAAGCTTAGAGGAGAGGTGTAAAGAGGCTGGGGTGAGAGTGTATCGAAACCTCAAAAGAAGGCGTAAGCTGGATAAATGGATTCGTGGATGGAGGGGATAATAACCCCCCCCCCCCTCTCTCTCTCTCCTCTCTATTTCAGGCAATTATCTCCTTCCTTCTCCCGTATTCGTGCATTCTTTTCTACCTCCCTTTCTCTCTCTCTTTTTTTTTTCTTTTTCTTTTTTCACACACACACAGAGGTTCAGGTATTCATTCTAAATATATTTCTCTTCTTCTCTCTTCTCTCTCTCTCTCTCTCTCTCTCTCTCTCTCTCTCTCTCTCTCTCTCTCTCTCTCTCTCTCTCTCTCTCTCTTTCTTTCTCTCTCTCTTTCTCTACTTCTCCCTCTCCCTCTCTCCCTCTCCCCCCCCTTTCTCTCCTCCTTTCTATTCCGGTCAATTCTCCCCTTCTTTCTCCCGCATCCACGCATTCATTTCTGCCTTCCCCTCTCCCTTTTTTCTCTTATTCTATTTCTATCTTTTTTTTTCTCTCTGTATCCTTTTCACATTTCTTACGTACACTTCTCTCCCCTCGCAAACCCTCCACTCTCTTCCCCTCGCGTCTGTCCATGTAGATTTACCCTCATGTGTTGGTTCCCCTCTTTGCATTGTTAAAGAAGGGGGGAGGGGGAGGTGTCAGCGAGATAAGAGTGAGGCGAAGAGATGAGGGAGGGGAGGAAGGGAAGGAAAGGTGGGGGGAGGGAAATGGGGAAATGTGGGGAAGAAAGATGGGTGGAGGGAAGGGAAGGAAAGGTGGGAGGGAGGGAAATGGGGAAATGAGGAGAAGAAAGATGGGTGGAGGAAGGGAAGGGAAGGTGGGGGGAGGGAAATGGGGAAATGTGGGGAAGAAAGATGGGTGGGGGGAAGGGAAGGAAAAGTGGGAGGGAGGGAAATGGGGAAATATGGGGAAGAAAGTTGGGTGGAGGGAAGGGAAGGAGAGGAGGAAGAAAAGAGGGGAGATGAGAGTGAGGAGAGGAAGAGACATCGGGGGGGTGGGGAGGAAAGGGAGCAGATTAGGAGAGGAGGGGAAAAGATGAAGAGGTGAAAAGGGGAGTAGTGAATGACATGAGAGGGAAAGGGGGGGAGAGAGGAGTAGAGGGGGGAGAGGAAGGGAAAAGAGAGGGGAGGAAGGAGAAGAAAGGAAAGGGAGAATGAAGAAAAAGTATATATAAAATATATATATGTATATATATATATATATATATATATATATATATATATATATATATATATATATATATATATATATATATATATATATATATATATATATATATATATAAAACGGAGGAGAGGACAGTAAAGATTTTA